TCTGAGTTGGTGGTCAGGGATCTTGTGATGGTACGCTGACCCTGGGGTCTATTCAGATCACCAGTGATTGGGGGAAGTCTCATGGTCTCCTGATGAGAGGACCCTGACTGTGTGGGTCAGAGGTCAGGGGTCTTTAACATGCAGGAAGTAGACCTGGAGTCTGAGGTCAGGTTACCTGTGATGACTAGCAGGGTGTCGATGGAGACTGACACTCACTCTGGCTTCATACAGGAGTCCGTCCACAGGAACCAGCTTCTTGCCCTGACCCATAGGACTGCGCCCACTCCCTCCAGCAGCCCTTACATCCGGCCAGACTACCCTGCATCAGGACTTCCAGGGACCCCCTTCACTGACCCTGATCACGGATTCATCAGCAACCATGACAGGTGTCCAAGACCATGACCAGAAACTTCTGAACAATTCTGGTAATTCCTCATTAATGACTGGTCTGACCCATCAGGTATAATGACCAATGTCCTGTGGCCCATTAAGGATTGATCAGAGAGCCCAGTGGTGGTTATTATCAAGTCCCTATTAATGACTCCAATCAAGGTTTCACTGATGATGTGACCAAAGTTCAATGACCATCAGTGACCCATAAATAACTTTGATCAATATCCTCATTAGTGACCCTGATTAATGACCTATCAGTGATTCTTCAGAGATTCTGGCCAATATTACCATCAAGAACCTAGATCAATGACCAGTGGCCCACCTGTACCTGCTCTTAACTCTGGATGAGGGTGAATCCAGGAATAGACTCCAGTTTATTGGCGGGGCTTCCTCCCCGGCCCCACCCCTCCCTGCCCCACCAGGGTACCTCAAACCACATCCGTTGGTCATTGGTACCTGCTGGGCAGGGATGCTGAGTACACCTGCACACCTACTCCTCCTCTACCTCCACCATTCTCTCTCACTTTCCCTGGTTAGGGCTTCAGCTGGAGTTAAGCATTTAGTAAGTAGTTGTATGTGCAGCTGGTGGAGAGGGAATGGAAAAGAAATTGTTTTGATTTGGTATGGACAAGTGACAAGGAGGAGGCTAGTACCTACCCCTAGGAGCACAAGTCTGGGGAACCAAGAGAGAGGAGTACCCAGCTCTTCCCTTGGGAGTCCTGAGTGGGGTACCCAAGGGGGAGCTGGAGAACTTGGTCCTGTTAATGGGGGGCTGATGGGTGGGGGGAACCTAAATTCCATCCTGGGGGTGAGAAGCCTGGACCCCATCTTTGGGGGACTTTGTCTAGGTCAGGCTTGAAGTTGGAGATTGCCTGTATGCTGCTAACTGACCTCTTTGAGGTCAGACGTTCTGGTCTGGAGAGGAGGCATCTTCTAACCTTGTAGCCTGTAGCCAGCCGGGTAGGTACCAGGTCCAGGCTGACCTTGTCACCCACTCCCCTTGTAGAATTTTGTTCATGAGTTGCGGGCAGAAGGCCTCTGGCAGCTCCAGCTGCTGCCCAGACTTGGCCGGGGCCTGGGTCAGCACCACTTTCTTCTTCAGATCTATGCCTCCCAGTGGCATGGCCACTAGCACGGCTTCTAGGCATGGAATACGGTGGTGATGTAGCCATCACGGGGGTGGGGGGGGG